GGTTTCGCCCTTCTTGGGGCTCATCAGGTAGGCGCAGTCCCCGGGTCTCCGTCAACCTTATGTTCTACTTGAAACCAAATTGCACGAAATTAGCGAATATACACTCGTTTGCAAACTAATTTGGTTTTTCGAGAGACTCACATGGGACCCAGCTGAATCTCTCGTTCTTGATGTTTTCAGGCAAAGGGGGAAACCGGTCGTGGGCTGTCGGCGGATTTTCAGCAATCTTATGAGTAGTACATTACAAAGATATACATGTATCGCGACATCTCGAATATCGTAGCGACTGAAACATGAGACGGCCTGGTGCAGCACATTCAGTTACCTGAGAACATCACAAACTAGAGATTCGGCTAGTTCCAGGTCAGTCTCGCAAAAAAAAACAAATTAGTTTGCAAATGAGTGTATATTTGCAGATTATTAATACTTTAAAGGGGCCCTTGGTATACAACAGCGCATGGTGGGGCCCCAACTCGTTCATATCAAAGATGTGACTGGCTCTGGAAGAGCTGAGTCACCCGAGTGAGTCTGCCCTGAGAGTGACTTACGCCTATCTTCCAATGGTTGAAGTGTTTGATGAATACATCAAAGGCTTTTGCAAACAAACTTTTTGGTAATGGGAATTTCGGCAGCCGAGTCCCCGTTAGCAATAATTAAATTTGCCAATTAGTGTAGAGTACACAACTTGGTGATCAGTTTTTTTAGTTCACACTCAGAGATTGGCTATGTACGTTTTTCGCCGTATCTTTAAATCAGAGTATGTTGAACGCACGACACGACAACTGTACAAAAGACCCCTCATGTCCCAATACTAATAGATCAATTAACACAAACAAAAGTTCGATTGCATCAGATAGATTTGAGACTGGTCACATGATCAACCCAAGCGATAGGTTTCAAGGCACTTACAGCGTGCTCCGTAGACTGCCGATATCGATCTGATGGCGTTACTTGGCAACGGTTGACGCAGCCGCTGTACGGCTGAGTGAATCGGCACTGTGCTGTCAAAATCGATTTATGCCAACTTTGAATTGAACTTGGCCGAGTGGTACACGCTGTTGGACCCACTCATTCAACAGACGTTCAGATAAAAAAAACAGTCAAATTAGATGAGTTTTTCATTTTTCCACCCACTGATTTGTTTCATGGTGCTTCGCTCTTTACGTTAACCATCGAAATGATATCAACGGCTCATTTTAAGCATTGACATTATTTTAACTGCTGGATATGTGCTGACCTGACAGTGAGATCCTGAAAACATTACTGTTTCTCACAAAGGAAACTACTAACAAGGTTGCTGCTAACTCTTCGACAGCCCACGACCAAACTGGTACGTAGTTGGGTGTATAGGTCGAATTACACGCAGTTTGGGTTCGAGCAGAACATAAAGTTGACATGATGAGCCCCAAGGAGGGAGAACCAGGTCGTCAACTATTTAGGAGTTTTCAGCAACCTCATGAGTAGTGTAGTTCTGGCGAACCCGTTAAGCATAGTCGGGTCGAGGCAAGTGAAGTTTTGAACAAAATATCAGTCGTAAATATAACATGAGTGGCATGTGAATTGGAAGTTCAGGAATAGTAAAAGGCCTTTTGTTTTAATCCCTCATTGAACGATGCTGCCTGATGGGCGGTTTACACTACCCCGATAATCTGCGACGTGATGTGATATTATTCAAATAGCAGCAACTGGTCAAACACCGTTAAAATGCAGACGCTTGACGCTGAAGATCGATTTGAAGTAGTAATGATAGCCATTTTTACTTTTGAAAAAGGGTCCTGAAAACACAAGCAATGAACTGCCCTATGTGGTGATGTTGATGATACTTGAGCATTTCCAACAATTTTCAACAGCGAGTCCCATCCAGTCTTCCTGAGGTTCACAACGCTAGAGTCGCAACTCGTTCAGATAAGTCCCGTTCTGCTATTCCAAACAACTCAGATGAACGGCTCGTGCGGACACCACTGTCGGCCATTTGACTGTCAGTCAGCCAGTCGCTCAGTCGTAGAAAGGGATGGGTGACCCCATAAATTCCTATTCTACTGGCATGGTGCAATCGCGTACACCAGACAGTTCCTGTTCAGCTGAGCAAAGGGTGTTTGCTGCCTTGAGATGCATAACCAGTCACTGTGGACACTATTTTCGGTGATATACTGTTCCGAAACTTGACCATTTGCCTCAGCGTACTGACCAGAAAATTCAACCAACGCCTCTCGCGGTTGTTGCCGTTTCATGAGGCGTGAGATGTCAGTTCCTTAGATCTACTCCCCCGTCATTCTAGTTAAATAACGAGTCACTTCCCAACCTTCTGTGTTGAAGAGATAAGGGAATCCTCAAACCTTCGGATAGGTTCGTCCCCTAAAATCCTGGCTTCTGCTGTTAACTGAGCATCTAAGTGCCGAACCATTTGGTCAACCCTGTGAATCCGTTTTTCACTAGTTGACATGCTTACTGACCTTGTGTTGCAAATTCCATATATTTTAAAGTGATAGACTGATCTGACATATTTTAAACGATCAGGCTATTCAAACCGCACAACTTTAGCCATGTGTCTTTTACGTAACGCGACGAGCAGGAACACCAAACCCTGCAGTATTACATTGACAACAACGGTACTACAGGCATGTTCCCATCTGTCTGACTTTAACAGGTAGTTTTTCAGGAAAAAACGTTGCTCATGTGTTCATTTCATCAGGGCCGTCTGTGGCGACATGTCCCTTACATTTTCGGCTGTATTTTACGGCTTAAACCCAAACAAAAACAGTTGTACCGCATAAGATCGTTTTTCAATCAATGGAACAAGGTTGAAAAAAAGGTTCAAGCATACAATTTTACGAGCAGTCCAGGATGACTGATCATAACCTGTCGACAGCTGAAATGAACTCAACAAGAGGAGATTGCCCGAAATGGCAACGGATATCTCTAAAAAATAATCATCAGGCTCTCCACTAGTCGAGTAAATCATTCATTTGACCAAAAGGCTCTTAAAAGCCGTCTATGAGGAATGTGGAATTCATATGCTGATGATGGGGACAGCTTCCGTTGCTAATGGGTGAACGGTGAGAGTTCTCAGGTTCGGATCGGGCCAATTAAGGACCTTTTTGCATTTTTTATGTCCGAATTTACATTGAGGACTGTATAGATCATAATCTTTCGTAAATGTTGCCTATTATGATGTTTGCACGTGAAGTTCAGTAATTCTGCCACCAGATACTACCACTTTTGATTACCCCCTTTATTCATTTTCGTTGCCTTGATTTTTCCACTATGAATACCTCTCAGTTGGTTCAGATTTTATCGGTTAGTCTGCAAGATATTCCCAGCGAAGCCGTGTCTCTTAGGGATGTCTCCCAACACACTGTTATTATATACAATTTGTGTGCCCTTTAGTACAATCGTGACAACTTGAACTCTCTGCAGCATCACTGGTTTTCATGAAAGTCGAGCTTTTCTGGCGCTTTTCACTGACCCTGAAGACAAAAGGCATTTCACGGCGGAGAAAGCTACTGTTTGATTGAGTTATGCACGTTGACAAACTGTTCATCCACTACGTCACCTCTGGCGTTCCTATGTGGTATTCTGTGTTATCCGCCGCTGAAACGGTGTCCAGGCAACCGTCTCATGCTTCGACAGTTTTCTAGCAGCTTTATACGCCACAGCTCAACTGGTGCGGTAGCTACGTGGAATGGATCTGCATCCGTTCCAGCGACTGCGGCCCCACTCCGTTTTCCAGGGTTGTGCTACCAAAATGAGGCTGAGATCCCAAACAGTAGCAGAAGATAATACAACATAAGAGTTGAGAACATATGGAGTTTCATTAATGAAGTGCATAAAATGGACAGGGATATTCTTTTGAATTTGCTGTCGTTCAATCACTGTTGCGTCTGTTCTCAGACAGGGGCTCTGGAATATCCGAAAATTGAGTATATTGATTATCATTAGAAGAGGAACAAGCGGGGTCGGTTATGACGAGAGAAACAGCTTATAAGCTCAAGGACTTGAAGTTCGACAAATTGATTTTTCCGCTGATGGTCAAAGCTACACGGAATATTGTATTAGTTTCCCAGTTCGTAGTTGTGCGGTGAATTTTGAATCTTGTATCGATCTTCATTGCACTCACTGAAACGCACTAGCCGACATTACAGTTAAGCAGCGTCAGTCTCCAATTTTGTTCATGCTTCTATACTACCTAATACTCTCTCAGTAGTCAAGTCTAAATACCTCTTGAGAAGTAGCCGTTTCCACAAGAGCAGCTGCGGAAAACAACCAACGTATAGTCGGAATGAACACTCATTCCCTCTCTGTAAGTGACAGGAATGGAAGAAGAGCTCATTGTACGTTTGTTACTGGCGTCGCCCATCCTGAGGAAGCACGAAACGGTGTTGTCCTTTCCTGGAAGCAGCACTCTTTCTTACCTTGGCGTTTTGGATTCATATGTCGAACCGTGTTTACTCAGTGCATAAACATCCATCATTGCAATGCAGTGCACTCTACGTTTCATGTCCTGTTTCCTCATCTAGTCCCTTCTCATCTGTTTCCACTCCGTACAAACCCACAGGGATGAGCACGAACGCACTAATCACGAATACTGCCCTCTCTTCTGGTACCACATCCCCTCACCTATCTCAATCCACTGATCCAGTCCAAACTGGATCCAAACGCCGTTGGAGCAGTGAAAAACAATCCGCACCCGGCATTTCATGTTCGAACGATCAATCGCCCCTGTCAGAAAAGCGCCCACGCTTGCTTATGCGGTCAGGTGATGGAACCATACAAACAGCATATACGTTCTGGCTGGCTTTAGACGTCATCACAGCTGGACGACAAGGGGTGGAGCTTGGACGCGACCAGGCACCAGTAGTCCAAATATCAGCGGTGTTGGGCAAATTCTCTGGAGCAGAGGTTAGCCACGCTTTGTTTTACCGGGACTATTGGATTCTTGTGTTTTATTCTGCTCTTTTCTTGGAGACTTTCTCTGCCCTGAGGATAGTTTTGTACCACTATTGCACGACACTTAATTGTTGAATGTATTACTATGAAAAAAAGTTAAACCTACACCAAATTCACGAAAATCACGCTAAATCCTGCAGAAAAGTGATGACAGTTTCAAGTTTTTAGGATTATACTCGCTGATTGGCCATGTTGTGCAGGGGATAATGGAAACAGATCATGAGGGCACCGTGAAACCAGTTTCACTTGCGTTTTATTCTGATTCTTGCTTCTCACGTTGACGTAGCTAGGTTGTTTGCGCGTCATTTCAGTTTACCTTAAGCACCCGCTAACCACAAGTGGGGACACGGTGAGCAGAAGCCTAACTCCTTTCTTGCTTTGGCCCAGAATGCGAATTCCCTCGGGAAACGATTTCTCGGGAATCTACGTCACGTGACATGAGCTTCTCTGTCAAGGGTCGAGTTTACAATGCTGCGGTGGGCTCCATATTACTNGATACCCCGTCTAAACATTGCTGATCAGTCAACGGGACCTGAACAGTAGCATTCAAGCCTTGAGTAATCTACTCGTGACTCACTACCAGAATAAGATCGGTTGTTTGGTGGCAATCAGTTCGATTGCATAGCTGGATCTCGATAGAAAAACATCGAGTTCCGTCGAACGGTATTCGGGAGAGACAATTCACCCCAGATAGACGAACTGATCACACTGCGTTGGTTGCGCTGGCTTGGCCACGTGTTGCGTATGCCGACTTCCTCGAAGCGCTCTTTTCACCCTACCATGTGAAGGGTGGGAGAGAGCCAGAGGCGGTCAAACAACGACTTGGCAGCGAAGTATAAAAGCCGTTACCAACAAACTCAGCTGCGCTGGTGACTGCCGTCTTCCTACAGCTCTCTTCCCCATCCTCCACTTGATGGCCCACTGACAGTGCTGGAATTATGTATCACTTTATCAGCTCCCGCCTGCAACCCACAGCTACCTACCCCACCTGCCCGAAACATCGGTGAACGAAACCGCGGCAGCCACAAACACTGTACGACGAGTACGCGGTTATTACAGATGACGATGATGATGATGATGATTCCAGCATCCAGCATTCCAAGATCCTCATGAAGCAACTTCATTTAAAAAGCTAGTCGATCTGAATGAAAAAAAGAATTGAATGAGATGCTAATTTCTTTGGTTTGATGCTGTACTGTGCTCTTGCCACACCGTGAGCCCGTCCTAACACCGGAGGAACACGAACCGCTGCAATCACCAACGATAGAAAAATCACAGTGAATTGACACTGAAACATCCATTCTGTAAATGCCGAGTTAGCGAAGGGCGTAATAACACCGAGGCCTAGCATGACACTGAAAACGAACAAAAGTTGACAAGCAAGCGGGGAAGGCAACGATCGAAATTCCATTCGTTTTGAGAAAAAAAATATTGGAGGAACAAGACGCACGACTGCTTGCGTAGGCCGAATCCCTCGGCGCTATCACGAAAATTTATGGTTATCCACTCGAGTGCTCTCAGCCAATCAAATTTATTAACCAGTTAGTCGTAAGAAATCGCCTGAATCTATTACGGGGGTTATTAGTGACAATTTCTGCTTTGTATGTGCAAATATTTAAGCCCAGGTGGAACTGACTCAGTTGCCACATGTGGCTCATCCTACCTGCCGGTTGGTGATGAGACAACCTACTGCGCTATTCGGACCCATTAGCAACCACGTACAGTCTTTATAATCAACGTCGTCAAATGCACGTTTTGTGACTTGGTACCTATCTACTAGCCCAGAGGGATAGCCACGTTACGTGGCCAATCCCACAGCAACGACCAAGCCGAAAAACTCTCTCACATGGCATACCAAGGGTTAGCCGTTCATGATTACTTCCTTGACGCTCGTTAACATCAACTTGACTTACAAATGAGTTTGGTTTTCCAACTGCAAGAAACCTCAGGAAGAGCAAAATCTAAAGGGTTTCCAGCAGCATTACAGGTAGTGTGTTGTGTAAACAAGAGTTCTACCTAACCAAACATTCATTGCGAATTTCATCTTTTGACAAATTCAGACTGTTGATCGGTTCACCGTGAATATTCGCCCGGAAAGCTTTGTGCGTCCCCAGAATAGCAGTACAGAGACAAATCCACTTCCAGGAGAACATGTTGGACCCAACTTATCCGAGGAGTACACACACTGGTTACAAACCGCGACCAACTTGAGCAATGGATTTTACGAGAATGTGCTTCACAACCCGCAGACACCAGACCCCACCCATGAGCCGGGAGCAACAGCAGATATGGTGCCAATATCATTGGATGCAATGAAAGCAGCTCATTGGGAAGACGCATCACAACTCCCTAGTTACAACTCACCAAGTTTACCGGAGGCGATGAACATGGTAAATTCTGAAGTGAATTCATTACTGGCCCCATCTTTGTTATCACGTAGAGGTTTTAAAGCGCATTCTGCAAATACTTTAAAATTGTTTTTAACTGAAATACCGTTTATACTTCAAAAGGTGTATTCAGAAGGTTCAGACGTGAAATACAGTGGTAATGGGAATGAATTAAAACAGACGCGCTCCAAACTCCATTATACCGCCCCGCATTGATATACTACCAGATTCCATCTTTCAAAAGAATCAGTCTATAGCAAAAAAAGTGAACTTCAGATTTTCAGATTTAGAAGTCCAGCCATAAACTCAAAACTTTGTAAAGTGTAGTGGCGGTGAAGTTATCTGAGAAAACTATTTTATGCAGCTACGACTATTTACCCTTAACAAAAATCGCTGAAAGTAAACATTTATGAACTTATACAGTTGTATTGCACTACTCATAAGGTTGCTGAAAATCCGTCGAACTTAGGAAGTGGAAAAGATTATATTTAGAGAAAGATATAATCGGATCTTCAAACCACATTGGTTTCTTCATTCCTGTGAGGTCGGTGAATCAGTCATATGACCTTCTCACAGTGTCGACCTCAGGACGACGTGGCCAGCTGCAACACTCTCGCAGCAGATGAGATTACGCTGACTGAGTGTGAGCAACAAAAACCTCTGGATGATGAAGATGATGATGATGACGATGATGGTGATGATGATGATGATGTCTCCAAATCAATCAGCATGAGCGGATGTAGTTGACAGAATTCAACACTTCAAGTGCACAGTGATCGATATATATTGACCCTGTATGTGCTCCAGTTTGGACAAACAGAGCATGAGGCGTTTGAAATCAAGAGTGGTCACCTAGAAGCAGTAGGGCAATTCTTCATCGAGAATGAAGATCATCCGAATTCGGATATGTTCATAGAGAGCTGCTACCCATAGCTTAATCTCATTTCCACCTGGTTTGCTCTCCTTCTCGCCATACCATCTGTTGTGTAAACGTGATTGGTCAAATCATCCCTGCTAGAAATGTTCGTTCCTCTTTTCTATGTAGCTAAAGACTAAATTAGAATAAGAATCAGTTCTTACTGATTTCGGTGTAACAGCTCCTTCCGTATCTTCACAATTTTACTGAACAGTTTTACATCTCTTATCCACTATTCCGAGGTTTTCTAACCGGTTTTCCAAAATCTCCCAATGTTCATGGCTAAGCTACGGTTTTTTTTCTGAATGCGTCTCCCAAGATCATCAGCTGGTTACAGGGTCACAGTGTTCCAGTTGGTGAAGATCCGGAACAAAGTGCCCTAATTGTGGTCACCGAAGGACATGTTCAACTCAGAAACGTTTTGCAACCACAAGCAGCCTACCTGGGTATCGATCGTGCGCTGATGCACCGAACACCTTGGTGTTTGTATGTGAGCATTTTGGATTGGTGCAGACAGGCATTCGGGGATCAAACGGGAACAGACGCTTCCTCATGTAACAAACGGATCACGAATTTGATGGAGGCCGTGACTGGTAAGCTAACCTTCGTGTCATCAGAACTTACGAAACTGATGTAACCCATGTAACTTGTGAGTTTGTGGAGAGAATGATTTCATTTTCAACACCTCACCCAGAAACTGATGAAATGTGCTGATCGTACTAAACAGAACTGCCAAAGACATGGTAATTAGCCAACAGCCACGTTAGGGTTCCCTACTACTTGCCTTGGTGGATAAATAGCATGTAAGACTGTAGTAACGGTATTTTTCTCAGATTAGTTCTCGGTCTGAGCCTCCCAAGCTAGGGTTCACGTCAAAACAACCACCTAAGGTGCACAAGGTATCTGAACGCCCAAAACGAAGTCAGGAGCAGTTGTACAGCGCTTCATGTATACATAGCGTAGACGGCTATAAATTTCTGGAAATTCTGACGCGTTCTGGATGTGCCCGGCATTCGGCCAATACTGGGTCATGATTGGCTGTTGGGTCCAGACTTTCAACCAATCAGATCCCGGCTTGATGCCGGGCCGGCAAGCATCCCGAATTTTTGGCCAATCTTGCATGGGATGGACTTCTCGGCCGTAGCAGCACCTGAGTGCGAGCGGTAAAGCGGGATCCGTGGGGGATTTCACCTAACAAAGACGAAAAGCCAGCGCTTTGCAAACGGACAAAGCAACCCTGTGGTGTACAAAATGTACGGTTAGACTAGTTCAAAATGACTACCCAATGTTCGACTACTTGTCCGATTATCATATTGGATTGAATGGACTATACATTCGGTCACCACGAGTAGGTCAATCAAGGTGGCCGAAACCTCGACCAATAGACGTCGTGCATTTTATTTCGTCACAAACCACCGGACCTGAAAATGCACAGTTGTTAGTTTAGTCCCCAAATCGAATCACCTAGTAGAATAAAATTCGAACGACCTAGCAGGTCTCGGTCACAAAATTCACGAGGTGGTGGAGGGTCATTTTGGTCATGAAAGGTGAGTAAACTTTGACAAGGTAGTTACCTAGAGTCATCCACCAGCGGGGCACAGGACATAAATGTGTCCAAATAGAATCCAATATAATCTAACTAATTACATATTCGTAATTGGTCCACACACGTTACTCCTTTATGCTGTACTGCGAGGTCGGTTTTTTCCACAACAACTTCCTACCATCAAAAACACCGTGAAATCTGGTGTCTGAATCAGTTTGCTTGTTAGTAGTTGCCTGCTGGACCAAATTTTCGAATGGAATCATACTTCGTAACTCACGATACAAAGCAGTCTCAGCAATCGCTTTCAGATGAGTCACCGCTCAATTAATGCTCAGGCATGCGGAAATTATGCCAGGCTTCAAATTCATACGATTCACTCTAACTTTCGGCCACAGCTGCTGATGGTTTTGATATTAGGGGATGGCACGAAAGCCTCCGATCGTGATTTTGCCCTGCAGGTGAATTCAGTCCATCCCTAAAAAGCGAGCAGCACTGTAGGCATGCTTCGGCCTTGTTGGCGCTCACCAGCAGTGCAAATCTCACGAGTCTCCAACGGTCCGAATCTGCAACCTCCCGTAGTTGAAGACTAAACCGTTCGGTCATCAGTGACTGACTGGCGGTGTGATTAAAACAGGATGTGACATCTTTGTAATGTACTACTCATATGGTTGCTGAAAATCCGTCGACAGCCCTCGAACGGTTTCGCCCTTTTTGGGGCTCATCAGGTAGGCGCAGTCCCCGGGTTTCCGTCAACCTTGTGTTCGACGTATGTTCTACCTTATGTTCTGCTTGTTTCACTTGATATGACAGCGCTTGTCCTTCGGTCACCTGATTCACACCAGTTGGTCAAAATATCGATTGGCCCGTCGACTTCTCGGCTAACTAACCCGTCGTGTGGATTTTATCTCTTCTGGGCTACTCACAGATGGCTGATAGTATAAGGAGGTAAAGGGATTTTTCGCAGTGATATATCAGATGCAAGTGCTAGTTAATCATACTGTTGATTAGGCGCTCGTCGCCAAACGGTTTATTCTTCAGCTACGAGGCGAGTGGAATCATCCTAAGGATTCCTGAAATGCATAATGGCAAAAACTGACTTCCCTCGCAGGTTGGAATCTCAATTGGAGAATAGAAGGACGCGACGTGCCCTGTGAACTTACATCTACCTGCCTGCAGCTTGGCAACTCAGCGAACATCAGTTCACACGGCTTACTCGTTAGCTAGTGACGAGATGATAGATTGAACATACAGGCATAATGTCGTCCTGCCATACGTGAAAACCGTATTGAAATAGTGGTAAGCTTGGGTGCATTAATTGCTAAATAATCACGTGGCTGCTGATCAAATCTCCAGGCTTCGCAATTGACTTGCCAGCAAGCAAGAACTTCAAACCACAACGCAATACAGATTGTGATCAGACCAATCAGAATCTGGCCAGTCAAGTTACACTCCAAAGCTACTCTTTGTGAACCATATAAACGCAATTACGAAAAGGGGGACTACCCACCCAACGGATCACTGAATATGCCATATCGAACTGTAACGAAACATTTGCAAGGCAACTGTTAAGCTCGGCAAACAAATCAACAGTCACCTGATCAATTACCAACGAAAACGGTAGTTGAAATCACAGCACAGCTGTTACAGTCAACAGGAATCGTGGTAGCCCGAAGGCTAACCGCCACGTTGAGGAGCTCGTTTTCAACACCCGAGGAGAAAGTCGATCAGGATACCGAAAGCAATGTTTCTTACCGAATTAACTTTCTGGGTTGACATAAATACTATGGTGGAACAACGAGGACGAAAACTGTCTGCACAAGTAAAAAAACAATACCAGTTCTAGAAAACATTATCTGCCTCTCTGGTTTTAATATACTGAGATCAAGAAGGGCACAAACTGAATCCAAAAGATTTGTCACGGTAATCGAGAGATTCTCTAAAAGCATGGCAATCCGCCACAAACTCAATCGATCGACATATGGACATTGCCTCAGACTACGTACCACTACAAGCCAATATTCGCCAATATAATTGGAGAATGCAGAGGGAACAGAACATCAGATGAGCGAGTCGGGCGTCAACAGTAGTAACTGTGGAATGGACAGGTTGAAGGTGGCGCGGAATGAGTCGGAGAGGTCAAACTCAAAGGTCACGAGACGCCGACCAAACAAGGAGCTGGCCAATCGTTCATCATGCGAGGCTGAGCATCCGAATCACCAATCCCCGTCAGAGATCATCATCAGGGTCAACAACAGAGGTATATACACACAGACACAGCGCTGCTCAACGCCCACAAACGACGCACTACGATGCGCAGGTACCTTATTATGCACTTATTATGGGGCGAGATGGCCCAAATGGTTAGAGCGCGAAGTTACTGAACGGAAGGTTCGTGGTTCGAACCCAAACTCTGCCACTCGGCTTCCCCTGTCAAGGCTTGGACAACCTGGCAGTATCCCAGCCCTCGTGCCTCCTTCGGGCAGCTAGACACCGGAAGGGGTGTTACAGCTGAAGGATTTTTTAAGCAGCCTCATTTCTTTGCTAGACACCGAAGGGGTGTTACAGCTGAAGGATTTTTTACGCACTTATTGTGGCACTTTGGTTGGTAACGAAAAGTATGCAACACAGTTGTCCAGATGAGTGAACATGACATCTATGCAAGACCACCCTCCGTGAAAACGCTCGCTTCGACATTGATTTCAACTTCGTTCAATATGCGAAGACTAGAAATTAACTTCCTGAGTTTTTTTTCTAATTCAGAAGCTTGGTTGCCAACTTTCTGTGGTAAATTCTTGGGCCCCAATTCAATAACGCCGTGGATTAATCCCAAAATTTCCGGTATAGGTTTTAGATAAATCCAGTGCACCAGCCAAAAAAACACTGGAAAAACACTACTGAATTCTGATTATGATCTTGCAAGCGGTGGAGTCGCCTGTCCAAATGCACACTTGACCACCAGACGCAGCGAGCAAGACACTGATGCGCACCAGTAATTCTGTTGCCCAATTTTTATCCAGAAAAACCTCTGAATTTTACAGTAACTAGCTGCTAAATCCTACATTTCGCTGCATCCATAGAGTTGTGTGCTAAAGTGACACCCTGAAATCCTCGTCACTGCACACAATGGCAACTAAATACATCGAAATCACCATCAGCTTCAGAGCCAGAGAAAATCCTCCTAAGGAGAAAGCACGGAAGAGATCAACCGAACGGCAGCTCAAATCGAGATTTCCAACAACCTTCAAGAAATAGGATACCCAGTGATTTTGTTTAGGCATCAACCAAGAAAGATATTGGCCCAAGTATCTAGACCCAGTAAGGAATGGATTGGCACAGCAGTCATTCCATATAAAGCAGGAACATCGGAGGTTATTCGAAGGTTGTTGAACTTAGCCAACATTCGAGTAGCTTTTCAGAAGGAAAAAACGCTACGCTCAGTTTTGGTCCAGTTGAAAGAACCTCTACCAGCTGAAAGGACTAGGGACTGTGCGTACAAAATTAACTGCAACGATTGTGCTAAGGTTTATATAGGACAAACTGCCAGGGAATTGCACACCAGAATTGGTGAGCATAAAAGAAGGATTAACAAGCCACCAAGGAATGCAGAAGAATACCAAACGCTGGTCAAAGACTCAGCGATGGCGGTACATGCCTTAGACACGGGACATAGAATAGATCTGGAGAATGTGGAAGTCTTAAGACGGGGACTGCGATTCACACCACAACGGCTGATAGCCGAGGCGGTGGAAATCACTAAGCATCACAGCGTGAATAGAATCGAGGGTGTGGAGCTAGCGAGCGTATGGAAAGCGGTCTTAGATAAGCCGAGTTGACACGTGACGGTGTGGTTGTCAATCCACTTAGGATCATTAGAAAAAACCGGGGGGTAGGGGTGGAAACCCCAACCGACCAAAGGTCACAGCATCCCCCTTACACAACTATCTTAGCACTAGTTCACCCACACAGATGGACAGAAGGTTCAAACGAAGTTCAAGAGGAACCATCAAATGAACCGAACCAGAAGAACTAGACCCTAGGCAGGACCCAAACACATGTAGGTTTCCCAGCCGACCCAACACTTGTTCAACCATTCTAACACACTAAAATCCCTCGGCCGATACCCAACAGAGATTTAACTTGACTTAGCTGATTGGTTCTCCTTCCGCCTTAAATCTCCACCAACCTCGGAACCTAGTCACTTGGCCTGACGAAACTTTTGTGTGAAAAGCGAAACATTGCCTAGCAATAAATCTACCGATTGCCACCAAGCTTTTTCGAAAAAAGAGAAAGCTTTAATTTTATTCTTATTGACGCGCAAGCCAAACTAGAATATCAATGTCCAACGCTGGACTTCCGCGACCCAGCAGATGATGTGATGTTTGATAATTTCCGCTTTAAAACCTTTATAAGGAAGTGAATGACCCACCGCCGTACCGTGGTGATGACTTATTCCTTTGGTTTATCCGGGATTATGAAGAACAAATTGAGACTAACTTGCATCGCCTCCAACAGTCGGCATTCACATAGATCCACTGTTCAGCTACTGAAGTATAGTAAGTAGTGTGTAATTAACACTCTAATATGATGCCAGTGGGAGTTTTCAAAAATACGGAGCAACAATGATGCAGGTAAATGCGTGCCCTACAAGTGGTTCAAGCAAGTTGCAACGAACTGGTGATAGTTTAAGGCAATGTCGGAGTCTCGTAAAACCATCGATAAATGCTAAAAGTTGCTCCATGCTTTTGGGAAATTATGGGTGTATATCTAAGGATGGCATTTTATTTCAGACCACTAATGTTGTGAAATGTGGATGTATCGTCATGTGACCCAGTTGGATAGATTCATTCGGCATATGAAACAGCATTGCGGAAGTCACGAGACCTCCTATCACTTTTGACTTCTGGGGTGTTCTGCTACGATGCAGCAGAATTACCATGGCTTGAGTTTGATTTCAACTAGTGCATCCTCAGCACAACCAGAAATTAGATTGTTTGCTTCGCTTTGCCTCGCGTTGTTGTGAGGTGTCCTGCAAAACCACTTTCAAGGCACCAACCTCCGTTCACAGAAAGTGGTGGGTGACGCGTTGTTTCGTAGTTTGTTGGATGTGACCTCCACAGGGTTTTTAGTTTGGTTACTTTTTTTCGACAATCAGCTGATCGAAGGTTGGAAAGCAGGGTTCCGGGTGTAAATTTGAATGTACAGTTTCGGACATTTATCAACAACAAAAATTATGACACTGAGAGAACTTTGGTTCTGATGTATAGCTAGAATGAATGAGCGTAAAAGCCCGTTAAAATGGAAGGAAATGGTATCAAGTGAAAGAGATTTTACTCCAAAACGCTTGGGGATTTGGAACAGGGAAAGCTGACTAAGGTTGATCGGATGCTTATACCATTTAAATACATGCAAGCTCTAATAGGATTTACATCATAATCTTTGAGTATCCAGTTTTCACTTTTCTAGTGAAAACGATTTTCGTTCTACAATCGTGTTATGTTTTTTCCGCGGTACAGCACTAGAAATGGATGTTAATCACGATAATGTGACCGCCGGTGTCTCGTTAAACAAGACCGAACAGATTGCAAGGCTGATCAATATTTTGTCCGAGAAAGGTAAGTTACACAATTTTCGGAAAGAAGACTTGAGTAATTAATGCGACTTGTCCTTCCACCTTTTGGTTTGACTACACGTGGTTCCGACTATATTTTCAATTAGGTGCTAACAGGAATCTGACCGTGAGGCAAGTGAGATCCCATCCTGGTTGCGTTCGCCAAGTCTTCACACGCATTCAGGTGCTAGAACACGTATGCACGATCCACGGTAGTGGTACTTCTGGATTTACAAGACAAATTAGGCTCGACGGACCGGTCTGTCTTCTAAAATAAGCTTGCCAAGCAAGGAATACCCCAGAAGCTCGTGAATATCGTAGGTTTTCTGTAGAGGAAAATGTTGGTACTTCAGGTAGCGTAGATGGTCATTAGCTTGTTCGCTGAGCTCGGCAATTTGATTGCAAACGTTTCATCACCAATCGAGTTGACATCATCAGTGCGTTATTGGGGAGCGCAGTGGTGCGTAGCGGTGGTTGTGCTATCACTAACTCACCGCCACGCACCACTATACTCCCAAATAACGCATTGATGATGTCACCTCGATTGGTGAGGAAACGTAGTGAGTTATTTTTCTAATGGGGCTTCCTGATGCATGGAAATATGCGGGAAGCTCTCCAAAAGTCTCCGTACACAAATTGGGGTTATGTCTGCTGATTCGTCAATCTGTCGTACCTGCTGCTGACCCGCTCCAGTGCCTAGTGCCGGAGAAAAAAGACTCACAGAAGGGAACACAACCGCTATACTCAGAACAAGCGAGTGCGAGAGCAAAAGTTACAATGGCCCCACGCTATTTAAAGGGGACTTTCTGACATTAGTCCAGGCTGTTTGATAGGCGTTAGTGAACACCCATCAACATCAATCGTGTCTCTATGAAATGCCTGAACGCTGATCACATTCGGTCGTGCTTCTGTGGCGTGCAAGAACACTCATCAGCTTTTGCTGAATTGATTGAATGATTGACTGGCCTGGAAGCTTGCCGGCTTTCCTGTTGAGTTTCTGGTGGAGCTGTAGGTTCTGGGCGTTCTCTTCCAGGAATGTGACCTTCCTACTAAGTGATGTTCACTAAAAATACCTAGTGGTCGATGAGAAAATAAGGCCAAAGCTTGAAGGTCCTCATAACCCCGTGTTCAAATAGCTCGAGAGTAAAACCCTGCTGATGTAGAATATGCAGATGCTATCATTCTCATCTTCGAAACTGGGAAGGTGCAGGCATTTTGGATCAACTGGTCAAAGTAAACCCATCCTCTGGCACGCGCTTTGTGCACTTTTCGATATGCAGTCGCTGAACATGCCACCTACAACCCAAGAAAAAGCATTCAAAGTTGTAGAGCATTTTAGATTTTTTGGAAGTTTTATTAGTTCTGATGATAGTTTGACAGACGAGGTAAACGCGCAAATTCCCAAGGCTTGGATTGCCTTTTCTAATTTGAGCTACCTATGGCGACAGAGTGGCACAACCCTAAATCTTGAGGGACATGTGTATCAGGCTACAGTACGGGCGTTTTGCTGTACGGATGCAAGATATGGCCTCCGCGAGCAACTGAACTGAAATGTCTTCCGGTCTTCGACAACCATTGTCTCGGAAACACAACTCGTGCGCGAGGGTGTCGGCAAACCCGTAATGAGGCACTTAGAAAACGTATAACTGATTAAGCAACGGAGTCTTCAGTCGAAAAATGCGTCCACCACCAGAAACTGTGGTCATTCGGCCATTTGTTAGGCATGTTGAGCCATCAGTTACCGAAGGGATGTTGCTTTCCGTGCCTAGTTCAGAGTGGTAGGAGCTGAGATGTGGTCATCCCTTGATCTGACAGAGGAATATGGCTGAGATTATAAAACGCTCATCCACAGTCGGTGTAACTCGTCCTGCAGGAGGAGGTCCACTTGATTCTTTCCGTACATCGTTGGGGAAGCTTTGATCTGGCAGAGGAATAGGACTAAGATTACAAAACGCTCTTCTAGAGTCGCTGTAACTCGTCCTGCAGGAGGAGGTCAATTTGATTCTTTCCGTACATCGTTGGGGAAGCCACAAGATAAGGCTACTAATCGACGTCATTGGCATTCCAGCTGTTAATTTCCCTCCAGATTGCCTGGAAATGTCTGGAGGCATATGCACCTCAAAAAGATTGTGTTTAAGCTAGGATTAAGTCTCCCCATCCATCTTTACTCTTCACAATAAGTTTTTCACAATTGTGACTGCACAGCAGCTAAGTTCCGGGTTTTCCAGGGACGTCATGCTTTCGATGTCGACGGTGATGATGTTGTTAGGAATCCGACTGCATTTGTGTCATCTTTCCTCTGGGCTCTTACTAAGAATGTGAGATAGAGCTCCAAAGTATCTCATGCTGAGAAAATGAGAGACGTTGTGGAAATGGCCTAAACAGTCCAGCAATATCAACGCCAAAAAATGACGCATAGAATTAAACACTGACATCAATCGATATCTGACGATTGGCGTGAACCAGAAGTGTCTCCCGGCAGCATCTACTCTATAGCGAAGCTGGTGGAGTTGCTCAACGATACCTATCAACGATTCCTTGAAAACATATGCTCCGAATAAAAAACGGGTTTTGCTGAGTTGACAGCAGACAGGACACTTAGAAGGTTATCAGAAGAACCAATCGACACAAAGGAACGCAGACCACAACGCAACAAAGATCACAAATGGACCAATAGACTCACCAGATTCGTTACCCGTCAAGTAGCCAATGACGTCGGAAGATAACAGATAGCCTTCGAATGCTATATAAACGCAAGGGGGAAGTACCCACCCAACTGCGCCCTGATGATGTCTCCTCGTATGGCGACGAAACGTTTGCAGGCCAATTGCCAAGCTCGGCGAACAAATGAACAACTACCTGGTCAACAACCGATAAGCTCACCCGAGCTACCAATATTATGCACTGAATACAAGGCTAGTATCACATAAAGTTTCGAGAAAATTCAACAAAACTAGTGTGGCTTTACGCGCATGCAGCCATTGCTCAACTGGTTTCTGTTTCACCCTTGACCTAGAATTGTTTGTTTCGATTAGTTTTAACGCTAACCTAGTTGGCTGTTATATGGTGTGTGTACTGGGAAAGCTGTGAAGAGTGAAAGGCCTCGCTGTCGTCGAGAGAGGTACCACCATCCACTTTGTGCCACTCATTCGTGTTGTGACCTAGCTGGAACCCGTTCGAACAGGGCACGCAATCACCTCTCAGATCATTCAAACTTTTTGCAAGCTTAGAGGATCAGATTGGACTGAGATCGGGGATATAAATAAGCGTACCATCGCCCTCTCCAGAGTAAGCCGTTTACAAGTGACACACCAGAAATATGGCTCGACCATAAATCGAATCAATCTGTATGAACTTATCACACCAGTTCAGCTGATGCTTGTTTAACCTCCCGTAATTCTCCTCTGTCCTCAGCGAGTGAGAGTGCGGAAACTCGAAACAGTGTACATTTATGTAACGTTTGTGGCTGAATGGTGAACTATGAGGTGGGAAAAGTTGACTGACTAACTAAAAGAGTCAGTAGCTAAATCAACGAATGAGTGGAAGATTGAATGAATGTTTGACTGATTATTTGATCGATTATTTGATGAATAACTGAAGAAATAAACAGCTGAATGTATATTTGATTGATTGATTTATTGTTGATTTATTGATTTATTGATTGAATGCATGAATGCATGAATGAAGTAATGAATTAATAGATGAATGAATGAATGAATGAATAAATGGATGGATGAATGAATGAATGAATG